ACTTGCAAGGACATTTGTGACCATGCTGGAGGATCCCTCCATTCCAAGATCAGCCAAATAACAAACTGAATTCCACCTGCAAACTTCATCCCCTCGCCATGTGACGTGCCACATTCGCAGGTCCCAGGGCTAGGGTGTGGGCACCTCTTGGGGGCCTTTATTGTACCTACCACAGGGGAAAGCAGACTCCGCTCTAGCTCAGCTCCCACATGTCCTACAGCAAGCCCTTCACGAGCCTCCGAAGCTGTTAGGGGACCCTGCTAGCTGTTCCCGTGTGGTTACACCCATCACTCCTCCCCGTGCTGGGCTTGTTCACTCATCTGTGTCTTCGAGGATAGAAACTGCTTTTCACTCGTGATTATCTCTTTTCACTAGAGTGTAAGCGCCACATGGGCGGGGTCTTTATTTTATTATAGGTCAAAAATAATAATATAAGTAAAGCCTGACCCACATGGCTCAGCAGTTGAGCATGGACGTAGGATCCAGGAGATCACAGTTCGATTCCCAGTTGGGGCACATGCCCAGGTTGTGGGCTCAATCCCTGGTGGGAGGCTTGCAGGAGGCAACCAATCAGTGACTCTCATCATTGATGTTTCTATCTTTCTCCCTCTCCCTTCCTAGCTCTGAAATCAATAAAGATATATGTATTTAAAAATAATAATAATAATAATATAAGTAAAGCTTTTAGTCTTTAGTAGTAAAGACTAAATATATATATATATATACACACATTATATATATATATATATATGTATATACACACATACACACACATACATGCTTGTTGAATGAATGAATTGGTATCTCCGTCACCTAGCATGATCTCTAGCACAGAATAGATGCTTAATGCTGCTGCTGCTATTAACACTGGCAATAATATTCACTGAGCCCTTACTATGTACTAGGCACTGTGCAAAAGGCCTTACATACATTATCTTATTTGATTCACACAGCTCATGAGGAAGGAGCTGTTTTTTTCTTTATCCTATGCAGAAGGAAACTGAGGTTTAGAGATGTTAATTAATTTGCCCAAAGTCAGGTAACCTAAAAGGAAGTTTAACTTGTATTTATCATCATAACCCTCTGCATTATGCTAAGTGAAAAAAGTCAGACAGAGAAAGAAAAATGCTGTATGATCTCACTTTTATGTGGAATCAAAAAAACCAAACTCATTGAAACAGAGACAGAATGGTGGTTGTCAGGGGCTGGGGTTGGGGGAGAAGATGTTGGTCGAAGGGTACAAACTCCCAGCTATAAGATGAATAAGTTCTGGGGATCTAATGTACAGCACGGTGACTATAATTAATAATACTGTGTTATATACTTGAAAGTTGCTAAGAGAATAGATCTTAAATGTTCTCACCACACACACACACACACACTCACAACTCTGTGATGGAGGTGTTAACCTTATTGTGGTAATCATTTCGTAACACATACATGTACCAAATCATCACTTTGTACACCTTAAGTGTACACAATGTTATATGTCAATTATATCTCAGTAAAGCTAAAAAGATTTTTTAAAATATTATATTCCTCTGACACTGAAGCTCCTTCTAGTCCTGGTTGCACTGAGAGGCACTGTGTACCTTCTGGCTTCAGGGGCGGAATGCCAGCCTCAGCCCTGATATACAGAAGATATTCCCCGAAGTTCAAACAGGCAGGGAGGGTGTATCTCTCGCTGCTAGAGAATGGGAGTTATCTGTTCAGCATGAGCGAGTTCCCCATAAGAACTATAGGCGTATTTGCCAGAGAAATGGGAATTCTGCAGAGAAACAATTCAGGGTTATCTGGGGGTCACTAAGCCAAACCTTCAGTAGTGACAGGAGCCATTGTCCTTAATGTGTGACAACATTAGTGATGCTTTATCAGCCTTCGCTCTTATCCCTGCCTTCACCACCTGGGGTGTCAGCATCTCACCAGAAAATGGCAGGATCTTAGCAGTGGGTGTAAGGCAGGAGCCCTGCGGTATCTTGGGCCAACCCTTCCTCTGGACCACCTGTGGGCCAGGCTGGCCTGGCTACGGAGTGTTCACCTAATATAACCGAGAGGAAACAGCTGTCTTTACTGGCAGATTATAAAAGCATAGGATTTCCTTGGGGACATTTGCTGAAGGCAGAGCAGCAGGATGCCAGAGGAAAGATCAATCATGGGTTTGTCCATTGGTTCATTCAACAAATGTGCACCTATGCCAGGCTCTGTGCTAGAGGCCGGTGATCATCCTGGGGGGCAGGAGCGGAGCATCCGCAGGGCTGCACTGTCTTCCAACACCTAACACCGGGCACAGCGGGTAAGTGCACAACAGGCAAAGTAATAAGAGCTGAAGATGCAAAGACTGACTATAGCAGCAACTGCAAAAGGACATGAAGAGGACCCAGGATTTGGAGCGGGGCGAAGCTACCTGGGCCAACAGCGGGAGCGATAGCAGGGAGACAGGTGATGGGGACATGCTCAGAAGACAGTGAGTGGTGCAGTGGGGCTGCACTGGCGCGAGGGACAGGATGACAAGTCACAGCTGGACCTGGGAGGAAGGACTTGAAGACCAGGCTGAGGCAGCCACTGAAACTGAGTTTTTAAAAAATCAACTTTACTGAGCTATAATTTACATACCATAAAATTCACTCATTTTAAGTGTACAGTCTAATGATTTCTAGTAAATTGACTGAGTTGTACAACCATTACCATCAGCCAGTTTTATTATTTTATTTTATATTTTATTTTATTATTTTGGGTGCCCTAAACAGGAATTGAACTGGTGACCTTTTGATGCACAGGACGATACTCAACCAACTGAGCCACACTAGCCAGGGTACCACCATCAGCCAGCTTTATAACATCCTCATTACTTCACCAAGGTCCCTCATGCCCATGTACAGTGAATGCCCATCCATAGCCCCAGGCAATCACTATTTTACTTTGTGTCTGTAGCTTTACTTTCGCAGGAAGTTTCGTATAAATGGAATCATGCGATATGTGGTTTTCTGGTGTTGGCTTCCTTCACTTAGCATAGGGGCTTGGAGGTCCACCCATGTTGTGTGTGTCTGAATTTTATTTCTTTCTACTGCTGACCAATGTTCAGTTGTACAGATTTACCCCATTTTATTTATCCACTGGTCGATGGGCAGTTGGGTAGCTTCCACTTTGGGGCTATTACAGATCATGCTGCTATGAACATTCTCATGTAGAAGTCTTTGTTCTCTTGGGCAGCTACTCGGGAGTGCAATTGTTGGGTTGTATGGGAAATCTGTAGTAACTTTTAGGGGCTGTACTTAATTATTATTTTTTAAAGCAGCTTTTTAGAGATATAATTTGTATAGCATAAAATTTACCTATTCTAAGTATACAATTCAATGAATTTTGGTATATATATATATTTTAAATATATCTTTATTGATTTCAGAGAGAGAAAAGGAGAGGGAGAGAGAGGTAGAAACATCAATGATGAGAGAGTCATTGATAGAGGCCACAACCCGGGCATGTGCCCTGACCGGGATTCGAACCCTGATCGCCTGGATTCCAGGTCAAAACTCAACCGCTGAGCCATGCCCTCCCAGGCAAATTACGGTTATATGTACAGAGTTGTACAATTGCCACAACCTAATTTTAGAATACATCTCTCATCCTGAGAAGAAACCTTGAGCTCATTTATAGTTGCTCTACATTTCCACTCCCAGCCCTAGGCAACCTCTAATTTACTTTCTGTCTCTCTATATTTGCCTTTTCTAAACATTTTATATAAGTTGGATCATATAATACGTGGTCTTTTGTGTATGACTTATTTCACTGAGCATAATGTTTTTAAGGTTCATTCATATTGTGCAATATATATCGGCACTTCACTCCTTTTCGTGTCAATGATATTCCGTTGTATGGATAGGCCTTATTTTATTTACCCATTCACCAGTTAACAAGTATTTGGATCATTTCCATTTTTGTGTATTGTGAACAATACTGCTATGAACATTCATGAACAAGTTTTCATGTGGACTTATGTTTTCATTTCTTTTAGGTAGATACCTAGAACTGAAATTGCTGGGTTATATAATAAGTATACATTTAAACTTTTAAGAAACTGCAAAACTGTTTTCCAAAGTGGCTGCACCATTTACATTCCCACTGGCAATTTCCAGGGTGGGCAAAAGTAGGTTTACAGTTGTAATAGAAATAAGTAATACAATAATTCATAAATAAAAATACAAGAATAAACTCTGTTTTTTATGCTAACAATTAAAACCCTACTTTTGCCCACCCCTGTATGTGGGTTCCAGTTTCTCCCTTTTCTCACCCACACTTGGTATTGTGTCTGTCTGGTTACAGCCGTTCTAGTGGATGTGAAGTGATACCTCATTGTGGTTTTAGGTTGCATTTCCTTAATGACTAGTGATGTCGAACATCTTTAAACGTGCCTATTAGCTGTTCATATATCTACTTTAATGAAACGTCTATTCAAATATTTGGCTCATTTCTAAATTGGGTTGTTTGCTTTACTATTGTGTTGTAAGAGTTCTTGATGAGTCTTGGATATCTTATCAAGATACATGATTTAAAATTGTTCACTCCCACCCTGGGGCTTATCTTTTCACTTTCTCAGTGCTATCTGTTGAAAGATTTCTGAACAGAAAAGGGACAAGACAGAGCTGTGCTTCAGAAAGACGGTCTGGCAGCCGCCTGGGGCCAGATGGAAAGGGACAGGGAGCTCTTTTCATACCCTCTTTAAATTCTAATCTAGGGAACAAGCCCTGGGAATCAAAGGGTTATCAGCAGCTATTTATGGAAGCCTGTTTCCAGTGCAGTTAATCAGTAAACCAGAATCAGCGAAACTGCCCAATCCCGGGAAGTGCGAAACCCCTTCAAAAGGTTTTCCTGCTTCGCCGAGGCAGCGCATGGGGGAGGAGAGCTGAGGGCCTCGGGTCTGCGCTGCGAGGGGACGTCCGGGCTCCCTCCCCAGGAGCCGTCGGGCTGGTGTCCGCGGGCGGCACTGGGGAGCGCTGGTCCCGGGCCCTTGCCTTTGGGAGGCGGGAAGAGGAGGTTTGGGGAGAGGTGGGGCTCGTGCCCGGGGCGCCCTGGGCCAGCCCAGCGGGATGCCAGGCCTGCGCGCAGTCCTCCTCCACCTCCTGCTGCTCCTCAAGCTGGTCACCCCGGTGACCTTCCGCCACCACCGCTACGACGACCTGGTGCGGACGCTGTACAGGGTGCACAACGAGTGCCCGCACATCACGCGCGTGTACAGCGCGGGGCGCAGCGTGCGCGGCCGGCACCTCTACGTGCTGGAGTTCAGCGACCTGCCCGGGATCCACGAGCCCCGTAAGCGCCGCGGCTCCCGGAGCGTGGAG